TGTTTCCGCCCTTACCTCCGTTGGCCCTGGGCGTCCACAAATCCTGCTCACGTTGCCACCCCTGGTTACTGTCCGTATCCCCAAGATCAGACCCCCAACCCCAGCTGTCCCCTGCCGGGCCATCATGGAGCTCTCTGGGCACGGGGTCACATCAGACTGGGGGCTCTCCGGTCTGTTCTCCTAATTTGGTTCAGGGCTTCCCGCATCCTCTTGCCAGATTAATCTGCTGGCATTGACGGGTTTTTCTTGGGGAGGTAAAGGGCGTCTTACTTTGAATTGTTTCCTAGTTGGTCATGGCCTCCGCTGAAGCACGATCGAGTTTTATAGGTTTTACACATTTCATATGCTATATACGATTTTTATGCCCCGCCCTGCTGATCCTTACTGGTCTGTCGGCCCTTTTCTGTTCCCTTACTGGTCTGAAGCTTTTCTGTTCCCTGGTCCTGCCCCCCGACCACCGGGCAGGGTTCTCTCCCCACAGCCTCACAGTGTCTCGCTCGCACCGAGTGTGGCCCGAGCCACAGAGCTCTGCTGGGGCCTGGGGCAGGAGACGCTCCGGCTTTCCATTCCTTCTGCAGTGTTTCCTGGGCCCTAGGGGGTCCGGCACAAAGCAAGCAGAGCCCCGTCTCCCGCACTGTGTTCTCCTGGGGCAGGACAGCCAGAGACGGGGGCTTTCGGGTCAGGGCCGGGGATGCAGATGATGCAGGCCGCGGGGAGGGTGGGGGCGGGGTGCTAGGCGGGCAGGGCTGGCCAGCGTCGCGTCGCTTAAAGATCCGAACCCCCTCAGCTTCTCCACCAGACTTGGGAGAGATTCTCGGCAAGTGACCACTGCCAGCAAAGCTCCTGCCTGCAGCCACCCGGGCCTCCAAGACCTTACCTCCTGAAGAGATGAACTGTATAGAATGTTCTTTCTGCTCCTGTCGGACAATCATCTGATTCCTCATGTCACAAACACGTCGAGGCATTTTGTGATGTTATGCTGTCCCGCCGTCTTAAGGGCCATTCACGTTGGATCAGGTTATTACTTTGCGAGCATTTTGGAGTGGTGCATGTTTGGGATTAGGACTTGTGCGCACCCGTGACGGATCTGTCATCTCCTTTGCTTGCCCCGCCCTCACCTGGTTTCAGAACCAGGTTGACATGGGCCTCACAGAATGAGGTGAGCTGCTTTTCGGTTTCAGAGAGTTTCCGGAACAATTCCCATTAGACAACTTCACGGGGCCTTGCAACTCTGGCACCAGCCACCTGGACGGGCATACGGCCAGGCCCTCCCGCGGGCGGCGGCTGGCTTCCGTTACTACTTGTATTTACTGCAGTTGTGGGTTTGTGCAAGTGTGTATTTCCACCAGCATCAATCCTGACATTTCGTATCTTCCCTCAAAACTTACCCACTTTTTAAAAATTCTGTTACTTAGGGGCGCCTGGGTGGCTCGGTCGGTTAAGCGTCCGACTTC